AGGGGTAAAAATTAAAAATTCAAATCAGTATTATAAAAAGTTTTTTCATCCGCTAAAAATTAATTTTAAATTATAAAAAAAACTTTTTTATACGGGTATCAACTCGGTGGACCGGGTTTTTTGACCCAAAAATACCAGTTTTGACAAAAATAGTCCGAAACTCATTTTTTATCGCGGTTGGCATGGTGGGACCCGTATTGACCCGGTGGACTCGGTTTTGACCGAAAATGATAGTTTTGACCCGAAACAGCCCGAAACTCATTTTTCACCCCGGTCGACATGGTGGGACCCGTATTGACCCGGTGGACTCGGTTTTGACCGAAAATGACGATTTTGACCCGAAACAGCTCGAAACTCATTTTTCATTGTGGTCGACATGGTGGGACCCGTATTGACCCGACGGACTCGGTTTTGATAGAAAATGACGGTTTTGACCCGAAACGTCCTGAAACTCATTTTTCATCCCGGTCGACATCGTTTAACCCGTATTGACCTGGTGGACTCGGTTTTGACAGAAAATGACGGTTGACTCGAGAAAATATATTTTAAACTCTTTTTTTTTTATTTATTATATTTTTTGTCATGAATAATAAGATAAAATAACATTCCTAAAAAATTTTAGTGAATCCAAAATTGGGTTACAACAAACTCAACCGAGTTTAATATTTTTTTCTCTTAAATTCATACTCAACCTAAAAAAGCAGGGCCAAAAAAAGCTGAGACTCATAAGCCTACAGCCCAGCCCATCTGGGTCACTAAAATAAAGAGTATAGGAGACCAGCAAACCTGAGCTTAGTTTTATTTTTAAAATTTTTTATTAGAAAGGTGAACAATTTATCATCCTTTCTGTTTTAATAAACAAACAACATGTCACCCGTAATCTCAGATTCCAGGTGACTAGTTTTTTTTTATCAAAAAACTCATTTTTCAAGTTATTCCAACCAAAAAAACACTTAACAAATACCCTTGTAATTTTCAAAAAAGGTTTAAAAACCTGAAATTAAATTGATTTAATTTTGGCTTTCTCGACTCATATATGGTTTTTCATGCAATATTGTGACTCTAAACAATCACCACAAAACCCCATTCATCTTTTGGAACTTTTGAATATTAAGAAAACTCATTTTAATGGTTAGAAATAAAGTGAATGATGATTTTTTTCTCTCATCATTCTGCCACCTTTCTCTCTCTCCTCTTTTTAACAAAGCACTGAAAAATAATACAAAAAAACTTGTGTATTGAAATTGATTTTTTAAAATTAAAGAGGTCTTAAATTGTAGATATTATGTTATTTTTAAAAATTAAGGACCTAAATGTATTTTCATGCAATTTATGGCACCACCACCTGTGTTTGGCCTTTTGTTTTCCAATCTGGTCTCTCTTCTTTCAATTTCATTCTAACTAAGAATATAATTGCAATTGGCTTTCAATTATAATTAAATTGTATAAAACAAAATTTTGGGAACCAAAATAAATTTTTATGAGTGCATGAACTGACACGACTGAGAGATTGATGTCTTTTCCCAAATGCAGGAGTGTCAAAGTAATAAATAACCCGGCAAGACTGGGGTCGAACCACAAGGAGGTTAATTGTACAAATTATAAATAACAACAACAACAACAACAACAACAATAATAATAATAATAATAATGAAAAAAAGAAGAAGAAGAAGAAGGTGATGAGAACTTTGAGATGGAATATTAATGTAACGATTAAACAATGATAATAACAAATGTCAAGGTTAGAGGATTCACTAATGGTATGTCAAACAAGTATAGTATAAACTCTTATGATTCAATTGGAAACCACACACAAAGGAGGTTCCAATCTGATTATAAATTGTTAACATGATTACATTAGTCATCTTATTTGATTAATGCTAATACTTGTAAATCTCGTCAAGCATTCATGATTATAACTTATGTTAACAACAAATTAAGTTACTTTCATAGCTCAGGTGTCGGTTATACCATACAGTATGTGCTATAAAAGTGTCAAGCATTTGTTGTACCAAGTGTTATACAACATAAATCAAGATTAGTCATTTAACAAGCAAAGTATTAAAGTGTGAACAAGATAACAAATACAAAACATATTATTATCAAACATTAAAGTCCATATTAAGTTTACACTATAATTATTCTTACACCAGTAGTGTAACCTTTTCACCTTGACATAATAAACTTAGCTAGACATAATGAAAGAAAGAAAAATAGATAAACAAAATAAGAACATAAATAAGATAAAAGTTAACTAAGTAAATGAAAAGAAATGAAAGGCATAAACTTGATATTAATAAAAGTAAAGCATAAACATAACAAAAACTACAAAGAGAGAAAGTAAGAGCATGATCTTGATCTGAAAACCAAGATGCCTAAATGCAAGGCAAATGCCTCCTTTTATAGGCCAAAATTAGGAACTATTGATTTGATGACTAATTGATGAGTAGGTGGCCAACTCTTGACTTGGTGACAATCCTTATCTTTTTTTGTCTGCCCAAAACGTCATTGATAACATCAAAATTGGAGCCACTTGAAAACATGAAAGTTGTAGGAAATTGTCTCAGCTTTCGTGTGTAAAAAATTCAAATCATTTCAACTTCTAGAACTACAGATATAGCCAAAATATTGAACAGTGCTTGGGCTGGAGGACAGATTCGGGATTCTTTGTTGTTGCTCCAATTTGAACTTGAAAATGACCTTTTTAGATCTTGGGCTCCATATGAAAGTTGTAGGCCTATATCTTACCTTTCCATCTATATAAAGCAGACCTAAATCTGAGATCTACAGCTCTAAATATGCTCCAATTACTGAACAATGTTCCGGTTTGCACTGCACCAACATCTCTTTTCTAAGTTTGGCCATCTCTTTGTCCTTTTAATTTCAGTTCTTAAATTCATCAATCAACCCTTTTATTTATGTGATAGGCCTGCATTTAAAATGAATATTTACCATAAATTAAAGGTATCTTATATTATTATATATATTATTATAAAATATGCTTTAGTTAAAAAGTTATTGATACTTCAAGTGCAAAATGATGATATAAAACCTTGATAAAAATACACTTTTAAATATCAATCACGAACAATGTCGGCTCAACAATAAACACTAGACTTTTAGAGTTTTACTTAGGGGGTTTGGAAAGTAGTTTCTTGAAAAGTATTTTCCAAACTTTCTTATATCTGTTTTTCATTAGAAAAGTTGATCAACGAAAGTTATGAAAAATTTAGAAATATCATATTATTTTTTAATTATATCAAATTTTATCCTCAAACTTTTGGTTGATATATTTTTTATTTGAATCTTTTTTTTAATCTCAACCCTTAAAAATTAATTTAATTTGATTTTTATATTAACTTTGGTTCTTATTTTTATAATTTTTATTTGCTTTTCTCATATTATTTTTTATTTAAAATTTTTTATTTATCAAATTTGATCTTTATGCTTTTGATTGTTACTTATTTTATTTGAAATAATTTATGAAATTGTAATTATTATTATTATTTTAATTTCATTATCTTTTAATTTTTTATTTGTTAGATTTGATCTCTATTATTTTGATTATTATTTATTTTATTTTAGATAATTTATTAAATTAATTTTTTTTTTCAATTTCATTCTCATTGAACTTTTTAATTTGTAAGATTTGTTCCTCATTATTTGAATAAACTTGAAAAAAATAAAATATTTTCCATTCTATTTTTTATTATATAACTAAATACTAAAAAATATTTTATAACTTATTTTTCATGATATTATCAAATATCAAAAAATAATTTATTTTTTAAAAATTTAATTTTTAAGATAATTATTTTTTGTCAAATAAACAGGTTGAGATTATGAGTAATCATAAGAATGCATTTTTTTTTTATATTAGTACGGTATATTTTGAAAAATTTAACAAAATGTTTTATATATCAATTCTAAAATCTAAATTAAAACAATTTAAAAATAGAGTGAACCTAGTTGGCTTCAGGCTAACCCTACCAAGGTATAATTTGAGACAGGTAATGCAACTTCACAGATGGCAATGATAAGACTAAAGGGGTCCATGCTTAATCAGCACATAGTCAGATCCTATCCAATGGAATGGATATGTGGGTGTACGTATCCTATTCTGTTTTATTTATAAAAGGAGAAAAACGAGGGCGGCGGAGCCGGCGCCACCACCACAACAGCTGTTTTGTCCAATATCCAGTGGCACTTTGCACTTTTGGACCATCAACAATTGACCTAACCATTGTCCACGCGTTTTCCATCAAAGTGACAATCACTTCCCATTCCAGCAAGTATAAGTATATTATATTATATTATATGGTTACGAGCTTAACATGAAGGGTTTTAAAATAGAGTCTATATTTATTTGCAAAGCAACTAGGCATGGGGAACTCCTCCCCGGAAAATCAATGATTAACAAGAGTGGAAAATAAGTGGAAAGTTGAACTAACATTAAGTTTACTTTAAAAGTACTATTTATATATATATATATATATATATGAATTCTTGAATAATACTAGATCATAAAATCTGAATAATAGCATTATATATAATATTTATGAAATATTTTAAGTTTGTAAACAATTAAGATCTTTATTATTAATAATATCCTCAATAACATAACCAGATAGATAACATTAAAAAAATTAATGTCAATTTTATATAAAACATGAATTCCAATTACCATAGAAATATTTTTTAAAAAAATTATAATAATTTTTTTATTGAAAATACACGCAATAGAGCAATTTAAAAAAAAAAGTGTGCCTCTCATCATCTTATGCATGGTGTCGTTAAAAAGAGATTGATCCTTGCAAAAAACAAAAAAGATTTATTTTTATTAAAACAAAATAAAGATTTTAAATTAAAATAATTCGCTAAATAACATGTTAATGGGTAAGCATTACCCGCAATGAAGCGCGTAATGCTCAAAAACCTTGTCATCTCCAGAACACCCATTACAGTTAAAAGCAGTTAAATCCCCTCTAAAAAATCCCAAGCCCTTGATTGTCCAACCCGTTCTTTCCCGCCCCCGACCTCACAAAGCATAAAAAAGGCAAACGAGTCATCGAATTTATGCCCACAGCTCATGCCTGCTACTACTCAGTGATTGGACTCAAACACACTCACAGCTGTATAGAATCAGACTTTCTTGAGAAATAAAAACCTCCCATATCCAACATCCATACATTAAGTATAACAGCACATCAGTGCTTGGTGCTTACGTTGTTTACTTGGAAACAAAGTACAGTCACAAGTGTTCTTGGTTTCTATTTTAGGTAGTTTTTTACTTGCAGGTTAATTTACTTTGCCTTCCTTGCGTGTCGCTGACTCGGCCCTTTCAATAATCAATACTACTTCGATTTGATTTTTGTGTGGACACAGAGAAGAGAGGGTTATAGAGAGATAAATAGTGGGTTTCTCTTAATTTCTCTAAAAGCTTGATTGGATTGTGTTTTTCTGAAAGTTCTTTTCTGGGTTTTTGCTTTGCTCTTTCTTTCATTGATTTCTGTTCTTTTTAATGAAACCGGTGTTGATTGAGTTAGCTGTGTGTTTATGGATTCAGGTGTTGAAGAGTTTCTAGAATTGAAGAGAATGGGGAGTGAATCCGTGGCACAATCAGATTTTCTTGAATTTGGAGATACAGAAGCATCTTTGATGGAGATTGGTTCTGGGAATTATGGGTATGTCTTATTTTCTGTTGTCAAATTCATTTTATAATTTGGTCCCTTGCCCTTTATTTGTAGACTGATTCAAGATTTTTCTAAGTTAATTTTCCTTGCTTCAATTAGATGCTCACATTATAGGAGGAGATGCAAGATTAGAGCACCTTGTTGCAATGAAATCTTTGATTGCAGGCATTGTCATAATGATGCTAAGGTATATATGTACAAAAGACTATGATCTTTCTTCTTTACTCCCTTCTCCTCTTGTTCTTTGACAGATAATTCATATTCTTAGTAGATGTTTAGTTAATTCTTAACCTGGTTTTTGTATGAACAGAATGGGTTGGAAACTAACCCACTTGATCGACATGATATTCCTCGCCATGAAGTCACAAAGGTATTCTTTTATTTCTTTCTGCAATAGACTTTTGCCAGTCATCTCTCGTAATTATTTTGTGTTCCTGAATCGAAATTGTTTGAAGATGCACAGTTTGATTGGTTTGGAATGCACTTGATTCGTTTCATCTATACTCCATGCCATTCCGCAGCTTAGTAGTCATTTTCGAGTAATGTCCACAATTTAATGTTATTGCAATAGAGGAGCCTTGTTTGATGATTAAAGGGAGAAAAAAACGACTATGAGAGCATGTGGTTTGAATATTTCACTTTTGTGCCGTTTTTCATTTTATCTCTTAAAGTAAGTAGACTTTTGCAATTGGTGGTCTCAAGAATTTTACATATTTTTTTGAGACGGAGACAGAAATATATGGACACAGGTAAAGCTTGGACAATTTTTGAAGACTCGCAAGAATGAGTACAAAACAGGAAGATGTCCTGCTAGGAAAAAACTGTGTACACTTATTGAAAAATCCATGATTTTGGATAAGGTTTATTTTTATGATAAAAGTTGTCACTTTTGATTTCCACTTCACATATAACCAATGAGATAATTGCGTGGTTTTTCTAGGATAAGGCTTGGTTGAAGGCTTTAGGCCATAATCTCGAAGCTTGGCCCAGATTTCCTTTCAAACTAAGATGGACATTGACCCGGTCAAACTCAAGTGACCTAGCAGGTCAACGAACAACAACTCCTAGGACTTTTCTTAAATTTTTTCCAAAATGAAATCGTTTCAATTTTATTTTTTTGAAATGATGTTGTTTTGAAGTTTACTTGGGCAAGGCAGGGCAAGGCACAACTCAAGCCTCGAGCCTGGTCAAAGGATATAACTATTGCATAATGTTTCTTTCATGTCTTTTTTAGATATGGTTTATTGTGTTGGTTTTCTTAGTTTTCTCTGATTATATCCTGTTAAACTTTACCTTTCAGGTTATTTGTTCACTCTGTGACACCGAACAAGATGTAAGTGTCTGCAACATAAAATTAGATGATGTACAAGTCAAAGGATTTTTGACAATTAAGATAGAAGTGTGTGAATTCTTAATATTCCTGTGTTGCATTTAACAGGTTAAGCAAAATTGCATAAACTGTGGAGTTTGCTTGGGGAAATACTACTGTTCTAAGTGCAAGTTCTTCGATGATGATGTAATTTTCCATACTTCTCATTGATCTTTTTTACTTCCATTTTGCTAATATACAGAGTTTTTGTAGTAATCTGAAATGATTTTTTTGTTCAGGTTTTGAAAAATCAATACCATTGTGATGAGTGTGGAATATGCAGGTAATACATCTAATTCCTGTTTCACTTTTTTCTTCTTCAGTTCAGTCTTGAATGGCTACACCATATGAGCATTACGGTGACAAATTCATAACCTATCTGGAGTTCTAGACCTTCTTGTGTATACTACTTTCACATTGTATTTTCATATCAATTTACTCGTTCTATTTCCAGGCCATGAAGCTCTTTCATGGTCTAAATAGCTTTCTTCTGAATACTATACGAATTACAAGTTTAAACTCATTGATTTTGTTGTCATTGCCTTTACAGAACTGGAGGAAAGGAAAATTTCTTCCATTGCAACAAATGTGGTGAGTGGGAAGATAACAAGCCAATAACCTTGATTGGAATTGAAAACTGCAATCTATTTGCCCTTTTTCTTCTTCTTTTGAATCTATCAAACTGATATTTCAAGATATTTTTGTTCACCAGGTTGTTGTTATTCAATGTTAATGAAGGATGCACACCGTTGTGTAGAAAGGGCTATGCACCATAATTGCCCTGTTTGTTTTGAGGTAAACAAAGCATTAATACGATGTAACACCTATGTATCGAAAATTTTGAAAAGTTCTTGGTACTTAGAGAAGTTTTTTTTTTTTTTTCCATACAGTTTCTATTTGACACTATGAGAGATATCACTGTGTTGCCTTGTGGACACACAATACATTTGGAATGCTTGAAAGAGATGGAACAACATTACCGGTAAGCACTATGCATCTTGCTCAAATTCATGCTTTTCTTTGTACTTTTATTTTGCTCTATCCTCTTTAATTAATTTCAGATTCAAAATTGTTCTCACATCTTTTCTTTTTTCTAGAAACATATCACATCCTTGAAATTCCTCATTGCAGCATTTCTGTTATTTGACAAAAAAACTCATCTTTGGTTTTGCAGCATTTTTGTTTCATGTTTCCTCCCATCTCTCATCTGGAAAATGTCAGCTAATGGGTTGGTTCATGTATTACTTGATTTTGCAGGTATTCATGCCCAGTTTGCTCCAAGTCCATATGTGATATGACAACATTGTGGAAAAAGCTTGATCAAGAGGTAATTAAAATCTTTGTTAGTATTCCTGTTTAATTTTCTCATGTCGTCCCAGTTTATGTATCTTAACTGTTTTTAAACTTCAAAGCAGATTGCTGCAACTCCGATGCCTGAAACGTACCAGAATAAAATGGTGAGAATCTAAAGTTGACACGGAATGCCTTCATCATTTGATAGCCATTTTCCATAGAAATTGCTGACTGATTTTTGCTTACAACCAGGTGTGGATTCTCTGCAATGATTGCGGAGCAAATTCCCATGTCCAATTCCACGTTGTGGCACATAAATGCTCGAGATGCAACTCATACAATACCAGACAGACACGAGGCGGCCCTGCTGCATCATGCTCATCAGGGATGACTGGAATAATTAGCTAATCACCTTTCATCAGAAGTAGGCATTAAGATTAAATGAAGTTACCATTCTTTTGCATGGTTAGTGTCACTAACATGCTAACAGGGAAGGAAAGTTATTCTTGTTTAACGTTGTTAATCCATCTACATTGTATCAGAAAAAGGATCTTTCTAGTTACAAGTCCTCACAGGAAATGGCAAAATTTTGATATGTCATGGAGGTTTATCTGGGTTTTCTTGTACACAAATGGGTTGGTAATCAATCACTAATCATTTTACTCTTCCATGTTACCGTTGTTTCTTCAATGAGCCCAGGAGGTTAAAAGTTAAAACCTGCACAGCTCAATTATGGCTCCTCACCCCAAATCAAGAAAACATCAAGAAAGGGAAAAGGCACCTTTTGAACTCAATAGAAGCATTCACAAAATAAAGGAAATTCATTTTTTCTTTTGTGTGTGACAATGATAACAAAAAAAATTACTTACTTACTATTGACGCAGATGATTAAATAAATATTTCAAGGGTTGCAAACCGAAGATAAGATCGATGCTATCATTTGTAGGGTATGTATGAATTAACATACCCTATAAATTTCTTTTTTATTGTGGTAGCCAGGATGGATGATGTGTCAAAATAAAAAAAAAAAAGATAGAATTAAATCTCTCCTTTTACATTATTATTTTTTCCCAAAAACTTTCTCTAATATTTCTCATAATTCCATTTACAATTATGCAATTCCATGTAGGGATTCATGTGCTCCAGTGAAATAATTACAATAAAACTAAGAAGGAATATGCAATTTGATTGAAGATTATTGTGTCGTTAGACACCATTCAGTGTGGACCCTTTTTTTTTATTCCGATTATTGAATTTTACAATTTTATTATATTAACAACATTTTATTATTGAGACTTGCCTCTCTTTACGTGCTCCTATGTGTGTGAAGTGTAAAAGAAAATTCAGACGTTCAATTATATTTAAGGTTATAATACCTTCAATTATATTTAAGGTTATAATTAAAAAAAATTGGAGATTAAAAAGACAGAGCATGCTGTTCAAAAGACACATAAAAATTCAATTTAATCCTTAAAGTTTTAATTTAAGCATATTTGATCTCTCAAGTTTTAAAGTTTTAAGTTTTAGTTCTAAAGTTTGTATACGAATCCAAAGGTTATAAAAATACTTGAATTCACGATAAAAAAAATATATAAATAACGAAAGAAAGTTTAAATAAAAATAAAAATAAAGCATGGCACAATAATTATTTGAATCAAAGCATTAAAGTTATTGAATGAAAAAAACCCCAATCTTATGCCTATAATAAATCATGAACTCAAAATATAAAAAAAATACATCACAAAGACTATTATTCTTTAATAAGTTTAAGAAAAATTCAATAAAAAACAAAAAAATATATGAGTAAACCTCGTATAAATACTCAATATGATATGATGAAAAACAAAGTCTTCTTTTTTTTTTCTTCTTTATAATATGATTCATCAATAACTAAAACTAAACATAAACTTTTGCTTTTTTTTTAATAAAGTTGTCACAAATTCAAGAACAAAACACAAAGACTAATAACATGAAAAATTAAAGATAAATAAATACAACATAATTTTATAACCTTATTATGATACCAACTAATATGAACTCAGAAAGTAAAAACTATATAACCTACGAACAAGAAACAATACAACCTAAAAAAGCTCAAATCAAATTGATAAAAAAAAAAACTTGATTTAATGTTTATCTTAATAAAAAACCGAAGTTATTAGATAAAAAACTTCAACACTTCGATTATAAAGAACAAAGAAGTTGCAGTATAAGATAAAAAAATCACAAAAATAGTTAATATCTGACAAGTCTTGAAGAGTTCAATGAAAAACTAAAAGTAAAAGCATCTTTATACACATACGATATTATTTCTGAATAAAACCAAGTCTAAAAGAAAAGGAATCTAAATACAAACTAAATAACTTTATTCATAAAGGGTAAAATATCTTAAACACGGCTAAAAAAATAACAAGAGAGTTCTAAATAAAATAGAAAAAATAACCTTAAACTTACTAGAAAAATAATGTAAATCGCGCTCAATATCTTTTAGACCTTATCGCAAAACCTTACCAAGTTTTGATCGCTATAATATGTTAACTTTATGTAAAAAGCAAGACTCTTAAAATATTCTGAAAAATTTAAAATTCAATCTAATAGTTGGATCAAAAGTTATACTTCTTAGTACAAAAATATATATTAAAAAAAAAGCTCAAAACCGACTTAAATTTGACTAATTCTTGCATGTATCACATTAATTAAATCCAGATCATTTCTTATTGAAGTTTGAAAGCTTAATTTGCTCAAAATATCTTGAATAATCTCATTAAATATCTTTTAAATCCGGTTGCTTCTTGACCTTGTAATTGGTCCTATGATCATATTTAATGGATCGTTTAATAATACAAGTTGATTATCATTAGTTTTTTTTAATAATTCAATCTTTTAGCCTAGAAGTGAGAAAATATTTAAAATATAAAATAAGAGAAAAAGAGATTGATCAGGCATATTCCAATCATAAAAAAACTAATCTTCAAGTCAATAGATTCATCTTAAAAAAGAAAAAATCTGTTAAGATAATTTGGATTTTTCATCTTACACGAAACAAAAAAATATCATATTAAAAAGATTTTTATTTTATATTGAAAAGATTTTTTGATTCAGTTAATTGAACAGTATTTGAAGCTAAAAATATTTTTAATGTGGTCCGAATGATGTATTTTAAATGTTTGCATGTGAAAACCACTTTTGTTTTTATTTTTTATTTTTTTAAAAAAAAGAGTTTCTACAATTTAACACCTCAAACCCTAATTTTCTAGTCTTTTAATGCCTAATGGTTGAACCAACAAACGATGCGTGAGTTGCCAAGGAGAACAACGCATCATGTGTCTCATTTAAAAAATGTCAAGTCGTATGCTCTTTAAAAAAATAAAACCTAGACATTTTTTATTTTTGGCCAAGCACACCAAGCCATCCTCTCAAGACTTAGATGTTTGAGTTTTTTTTTTTATATTGCTCTTCATTTTTTTAATTTTAAATAAAATTCACTATAAATAAAATAATATTTAAGATATAAACCAATTTCACCATAGATTTAGAATAAAATTATAGTTTCTATTGTAGTATTAACAAAAAGTTTGTAAATTATTATATATGAAACTAGCATGCAAATTTTTTTTTAAAAAACCATGCTTGTGAATAGTAGATAAAAATAAAATATATATTTTTATTATAATTTTTTTCATAGCTATTTCTTCTATCATGTATGAATTATCAAGTCATGATTCTTCATATTTTTTATTGGAATTTTCTCTTCATACCATATCATGACAAGTTTTTGTTAAAGAAATAATTTTTTAATAAAAAAACATATTTTTGTAAAAAAAAACATGAATAAAAAAATAGAGTTTTGATTAACAACATACATTTTCCCCTTCTTATTCAAATAAATAAAATTTTTATGAATATTTATTTTAATTGTTTTTTATTTTTATTAAAAACATGCTATTAATAAAAAATAACAATACATGAATGAAAATAGGGAGATTTGCCTTATAAAATACGTATTTGTTTGTTTAGATAATATAATATAAGTAGTTGTTTTTCTTACAAATATGTATTATTAAATATAATATAAGATTCTTAAAAAGACCCCACAACATCAATCAAGGAAATAAAAAATGGTATACTGTCGTCTTATCTACCAGTGCATTGAACTGGTCGAGGCACCTCAAATTCGCTGTATACATGAAGAAGGGGACAAATTAGTGAGCAATCCACGCATCCAAGAATACTAAATTCAATGCCTATTAAACTTGGTCGAATTCAAATTTTTATCAGTTTTTTTTCCATCCTGATCGAAACTAGATTAATTTAATGTCCTGTAAAAAAATTAAAAGACTTTTATTTTAATAAAAATTAACAAAAATCTAGGGAAATTATTGTGCTATAATATTATTATAATAATGACAAAATTACTTCTCAACCTTGAAATATGAGAAATCGATATTTGATGTTTTTTCACCTTAATACAATTGGTTTTTACAAATTATGCTAAGTTAGTTTTTTTTTCACAATAAAATTATTAATTTAACCCTATAATAATAATAATAATAATAAACTTTCAATTTAGGGTCTTTTGGCCTTTTTTGTTTTTTTTAAATATTAAAATTACTTTATTATCCTTAAAGACAATCAATCAAACTCTCTTACAAGAACTTTCTTGTTATTTTACCATAGTTTGTTTTTGTTAATACCAAGATTACTTAGGGGCACTATTATGTTTGAACATATATTCAATATTATTAAAAACAAATTAGAGATGCTATTCAAAAAGTGCTCGTGGGATAGTTTGGTTACGAAATCTTGCCTTCTACAAAAATATTTGAATCATCTTGATTTTCTCGTGTTTCAAATAACCCTTTGATTTAGAATTAGCAATCTTTTTTTTTCTTCTTCAAATATTATAAAATTTAATATTTTTTATATTTCTTCATTCAACATTAATTTATTTTAAAACTGGGTTTCATGATGTTTCTCGATTTATCCTCCATTTAGTTATCTCAATAACATAATTCCATTTGATTATCTCAATAACATAATTCAAGTTGTAAACTTCGGTTTATCTTTTATTTGGTTATCTCACCAACATGATTCAAGTTGCAAAATTTGGTTAGCTTGTTTGGTTTTATAGGTCTTTTTTCTTAATCTTACTTTAAAATATGACCTTATATGTTATGTTTTTTTTTTTAAGAATAGGACTTGCATATTTTTTATTTTTCATTATTCTAGTCTTATGACTTGACTTTTACATTTTGTATGATCACTAAAGTTAGCTTAAATTTTTTTTTTTTATTTTTTTTATATTTGATTGGCTAGAATCTTAGCTTTATCATTTTTTTGCTAGGTTATTATGATTTATTTTAAGTTAATCCATTTATTATCCTTATCTATTTTTTTATTATCTAGTTAAATTATAAAAATATTTTTCTCTCATTCAAGTCTATTTTTAAATTACTTTTTTATATTTTTGTAAACCTGAGATTTTATTTTATTTTTAACGAAGCATAGCACGTACTCACAAATGTAGTATTAACTAATTAATTGTTTTTGTTTCAAACTGTGGATTTGACAGCTATACAATAGTAACAATGGAGCAGCCGCTTGTCTTCTTTCTCTCGTGGAGTTAAAATTACCTTCGTAATCAGTGCCTCCAAGGAGAATAAAAAATAAAAACAATCCTTTGACTAACTCATTATGCTTCGTCAAAAAAAAAAAGATTAAAAAAATAAGCCCTGAGACCGAATAGCACTGTCAGTGTTTTCTCGGTCCCCGAGGCTTTTTCCCAGGTTGAAACCTCATTCAACCGAGCATATAAAAAAGGAGAACCTCATTCTCCGTTCCAGAGAAAAGCATATAAAAAGCAATTTAGTAACACATGAATATAAAACTTTTCTTGTTGCGTGGCCTTTCCAGTAGATTGGCTACAATTTGTCGGAAAGGAAGAGATGTTTTTTAAAAAACAAAGAAAACACAAGGCACTAGCAATACCATACAACCCCCAGCAACCACAACAAGTTGCAGCTGGTTTTAAATTATCAAGAGAAGGTTTTGGTAACAAGTCAACCACCTTTTCCCTCAAATTGTTAACTAATTATAACCCTTGATAAAGCTTGATATTGACCAAAGGAATCCCATGAAAATGGTAACATTACCTCATAGTGCCTATGATACCTTTTCTCGTTTCTAAAGAAGTAATAATGTCAATCGCATAGTAAGGGATGATTTTGTGACTACAGTTTACAAGCAAAGGTACGGTTCCATTTAAAAAAAAGTTGACACCCAGTAGACAATGCCTGAACTTGCACCCTTGCAAATGGGTTATTTCCCTTCTTTTTTTCTCTACCCTTTAAAACTTTTGAGATTTACAGGATCATTACATGGACCGGCACATAAATTAACCATCATTTGAAATTTAAAGAAAATTTGAAAACTAGTAGTTTTAGGCAATCAACACACCTTTTCAAATGGAACTAACTGTTTGTTGCCATTGGTCAGCCTGCCTCCAAATGGTGTCTTAAGAACTGCAAACAGAAGAAGGGTCACAAGATGCTTTGGAGTGGATTATAACCCGAGCTCCTGAAGCAAGCCTGCTGGGAGGAAATGAGGATAATGTCAAAATCTGATAACACAAGATTAAACTTTAGCAGCTACATTTAGAATAGATTGGAGTCAACACTTAACTTTCTTCAAGAATCGAGCTTCTTTGATTGTTTTTTCCCTGAATCAGGCTCTGTGATTCTTTTACTGCCACCATTTGATGAGCTACTGTGTATTACTTGAGAGCCATCAGCCCCGTTAGAGGAGTTTCTAGGTTTATCAGAAACAGGCGATCGCAAAGATTCACTGCGCAGTTGCTTGCTTAGGGAGGCTTTTGATCGTGGAATGCATTTTGAGCGTCCAGAGGTTGACTCTTCATTGTCTTCAACTGAATCTGGTTGTTTACACGTCCTGCAATGTAATTTATGTTTTTAATTAAGGTGAACAAAGAAATAAAGGAAGAATGTAGAACTATTTCTTGTGTTAAATATGCTGAATGTGGAACTATTTGCTCTATTAAATATGCTTAGTATTCTTATAAAAAGAAGTCAATAAATAAAATTCATGCAGCTAACCCATAAATCAATGACCCCCCCACCTGAACTACCATTATTAGTACCGAATGGGAGGGAAGGACATAGCCACCTTAATTCCTTCTTTTATTTTTCAATCAAACAAAAACAAATGTCGTGTCTCTAAGAAAGGAAAGAACCAAAGTTGAAACAGGTGATTATAAATAGATTCATTTCACATCAGGATATTGTTCTATGCTCCACAGCAACTCAAACAAGTTCATCTTACGGCAGGATCAACTACCATGATAATAACCTAACAACATTACAATTGAACATTATACAAATAATAAACAGTAATATAATGACCCCATATGAACCCTTGTTGTGCAGTCATGCAGACCATCTATAAACTAGAAAATTCTTCATGCAAAAAAGCTTTGGGCTTCTTAATACCAGCACTCTAGGATGGCTTTAAATACAGTGGGACATTTAATGTGACCTAATTATTAACACCTAAAGTGCTGGGCATGTAGTAAGTTTATAGATGGTGGTGCAACAGTTTTGCAAGTCCACATAAAGAAAAGATTTTTGCTCTACAAGAAATCACCATCATGCAACATCCGATATGATAGGATACCTCCGAACAATAGTAAACTGAAAAACAATAGTAAGCAAATCCAATGATTGATATTGTGACTTCTCTTTATCAAGCCTAGATGCCAAGCCGAACACTCAAGCTTGATTCATACATGTTGCCTCAAGAATAGCTAGTTGACAACCTTATGCAATGGTTATTATGACATCAAATAATTCATTAGGAGTGTCCATTTAGCATATTCTAAGGTCTAAAATAAAGTGGATCTAAGAAAAGTTTAATGGGTCAAGTCAAGAGTCTTAGATTAAAAAGGTTCAAATCTATTATCCTAAACCTTTGTCTGCTTTTCGGGTCATATCTGAAGCTACACGAGATTTAGAATGTCATTCAAGTTAGGTTGGAAACTAGATATTTGTACCTCTCCAACAATATATGTTAAGCTCACTAGTTCATCCGGATGAGAGAGAAAAATGTGTTTGAAGTTGGGCCTAGAATTTTCCAAAAAAATTCAAAATTAAAAAAGACGTTGTTTCCTTGAGAGTTTTGGATTTCATTTACTATAAGGAGTGCTTAATTTTATTGGAAACATGTCTCAGCCTCAAGGTTACGTATTTTATAAGGATTCAATATCAAACAAGAAAAATTAATTGGTCAGAAATTAATTCTTATTTTATTAGGCATCACTCTTTTATTCATCAAGAATTCTACAATAATTATTTCTCTTGGATATTTTCTACTATCATTTGCAGCAAATAGTGAAAAATAATCTTAGACTATTGTTTTATTTATTTTTATTATTTTAAACCTTATTTTAATTAGTTTAGGCTTTATTTAAATTGGATACATATCTAACCTATTAGTTTTAGGGTTTATATATAAATACCCTTATAGAAGAATTTTTAAGTTGCTGATAATTTTTTATCAAAGGTTGCCACATATTGCATGCCTTTTTCTTGTGTGATTGAGTGATTCTCATATTGAGTTCTTGATTGAACTTACAAACTCTTTAAAGGATTGATCAACTTTATATGATTTGTACTTATTGTTTGCTTCTCGTTATAGGCATAAAGTGGGGGTGATCAGTTGCATATAACTTTGGTTCTTCAAGGAAAGGTTCTTGTTAGGTCAAATAACAAACTTTTCTTTAAACCTCAAATTAGCAATTTAAAGGGCAATTCCGCATCAATTTGGTATCAGAACACAACTAATTTTAGGTTGTATCTTTTCAACTTTTATCATTAGAATTAATTATAGGGTTTTTTTTAGATCTTACCATATCTAAGGTTTGTGTACATGTTTCTTAGTTTCTTTTTTTCTGGGGTTTTAGGTATTACTAAAAAAAAATTTTGAATCTTGTTTAATATATTTGTGGTGTTTTGGTGGAATCTTGATTAAAAAAAAAATCTTGAAGTTGTTGAAGAAAGAAATTGCTTACAAACAACAAATTGTGTTCATCTTTGGACTTGAGAAATTCAGCACCTCTTGAAAAAAAAAAAAAGAACCAAAATCACAAATCTTGAAAGGATTTTTGAGGAAGCAATTTAGAAATTTTGGATCTTACATGAACTAGGGATTAGCTGAAACACTTATCTTGGAAATTCTAGGTAATCTTGATTGATTTCTAGCAAATTTGAATAGAATTATCTAGCATCAATTTCTTTAAGGTCTTGATTTCCTCCATTGAATTTTTTATTCTCTTGAATTTCATAGTTTTTGTTGTTTTTTAATAAAATTCTTGCTTTTATTTCAAGTCTTTGTTTTTGTCATTATATTCGCATAAATTTCATTGCTACTCGTAAGTTTGTCCCTCAAGTTTTGTATGAAAAGTTCAAATAATTCCTGATTCTTGAGTCTTTAAATATTAAATAAATCATTTCATAATTTGGTTAATTGTTTGATAAGTTGTTAAGTTACTTCTAAGAACCAAAGTACGAGAATAAAATGGTAAAATACATAGCTAGTCTATTAGAATGAAAAGCCTAATAAATTGTATGAAACATGAGAGAAGTGAATTTTATTGTGAGAGTACACACATGAGGTTTAAGTGAGGAAAAAAATATTTTTTTAATTTGTTATTAACCTTTATTTCGGATATAAATAATGTCTTCAAAAAAATATTGAACAAAAAATAGCAAAAATTGTGGAGGAAATGTAAGATAGAATGAAAGTTATGATGGAGGTATTAATAAGTAAGTTTGGTGAGATGATTAGTAGACAACAAGTTCCTAGTCATAAGGAAAATGAAGTTGAAATGCCTACCATTAGGGCTACAGCAAATGGTAAGAATGTGTGATAATTCCAAATATAAAGGAAAAAAGTTTTCAAAGGTTAATGATCAAAAAGATGCTATGAAATTGGTAAAGAAGAAACAAAGAAAGAGCATCTTTCATACTAGATATCACATTAGTAACAAGGCGTGTAGTATGATTATTAATAGTGGAAGTTGTGTCAATATTGTTAGTACTAGTTAAGAAATTGAATCTAAACACCCTTAAGCATGATAGACTTTGTAAACTTTGATGGCTAGATGAATGTGGTATAATTATGGTGACTAAATAGGTTTTGATTTCTTTCTCGATTGAAAAGTATAAGAATGAGGTTTTATATGATGCGGTTCCTATACATGCTAGTTATTTATTGTTCAAGAGACCTTGACAATTTGATAGGAAAGTCAAGCATGATGAATTTAAAATTAGGTATTCTCTTGAGAAGAATGGAAGGGTATACACACTTGCATTATTATCACTTAAACAAGTTTATGAAAACCAATTGAAATTGAAAAAGAAAAGTTAAGCTGAAATGGGAATACAACGACATAAGGTCATGGTTACCATGCAAAAATATATACGAAAGTGGTTAGTAAGGCGTGCTTATCTCAAATTATTATTAGCTACTATTTTCATATAGTGTTGTTGGAGGCAAAAGTTGGTAAAAATAAACTTTTTAAACAAGATCAACTAAAGCTGAAAAGATAATGCAAGGCCGAGGAGACAAATAAATCATATGAGCTCATGAGTTTAAAGAATAAAAATAAAATGAGTCTTAAGAAAAAAATAAGCGAGACAAAAGACACAAATTCGACTAAAGGTGAAAAAAAGTGAATTGAAGCCGAATGTGGAGAAAAGAAAATAAGGATGAAGAAAGAAGTGTAACAAATATAGGTAAACCTTGAGCATCTACACAAAAGAAAGAGATCAACAGTGCTTATTTTTCTAGTTTATAAAGAAGCATATTTTAACACTAACAATCATGATTATTTTATTCCTAGTGTTGCTATATCTTTATTATAGAATTTTGAGGATGATATATGACAAACAAATTCAGATTTGAGCTTAATTTGTTCCACTGTGTAGTTTTACACCAACAAGCATAATTCTCGATTCGATGGTTGGAATTCAATGGTTGGAACAGGCTGAAATTTTGCTTGAAGTTTCCAAAGATCATTTTTAATCTTGAGTTAAAATTTCAAGATGATTAAAATTTGGTAAGGCTTGTTGTCTAAATCTTTCTCTGCATTTCTTGATGAGATCCATAATAGTTTGCCTTTGATAAAGAGTGCAATCAACAATAGTATAGTAAAGTATAAACATCATATCCATAGACTTGATGATATTCTTAATAAGTTGCATGGATCTTATATGTTTAGTAAGATTGATATGAAAATTAGTTATCATCAGATTATGATGAAAAAAGGAGATGAAGAAAACAATAAATTTAAGACTAAATATGAATTGTTTGAATGGTTAATCATGTTGTTTAGTATTACTATTGCACATAATAATTTAATGAGATTGATGAATCATATATTATGTGCATTCATAGATAGCTTTGTTGTTGATTACTTTAATGATGGTCATAGTAAGAATTTAGGTGTGCAAATTGAGCATTTATGATTTTTGTTTAATATATTAGTAAAGAAATTGTTATGTGCTAATCTATTAAATTAGAAAAATTATTCAACATTTAAAATAGCTTATGTACTAGATTTGGTTTCTTTACTTGTTGATGAAAGAGTTAGACTTGATGACAATAAAAAAGCACATGTGATAAACGCATTGCTTAAAAAGGTACGACAACATGTTGAGAAAAATAATAAGAAGTATGCATTTCAAACAAATAAAAAATGAAAAAATGTTGTCTCTGAACTAGGAATTGAGTTTTAGTACATATGCACAATGAGAGAATTATTGGACATGAAAAATCAAAGTTGATGCTCAGAGGATACGGTTCATTTAGATTCCTTAAAGGAATCAATGCCTACAAAGAGGATTTACAAGGTGAGTATCATGTTAGTACTATATTCAAAGTTTCTGATCTTTCTTTGTTTAATATAGGTTAAGATGCAAGGTCAAATTCTTTTGAGGAGAGGGGGGATGATGCGATCCTGTCTATGACATCAAATGATCTATTAAGAGTGTCCATTGAGCCTATTTTAAGGCCTAAAATGAAGTAGATCTAAGAAGAGATCAATGGGCAAAGTTAAAAGGATTCAAATCTGCCAGCCTAGACCTTTGTCTACTTTTCGAGTCATATCTAAAGCTACATGAGGATTTAAGATGCCATTTAGTTGGGTTGGAAATTAGATATTTGTACATTTCCTATGATTTATGGTAGGCTAGCTAATTCACCTGGACGAGAGAGAACAACATGATTAAAGTTAGGCCTATAATTTACCAGCAAAGTGCGAAAACAAAAAAACACATTGTTTCCTTAAAAGTTATGGAATCCATTCACTGCAAGGAGTCCTCAATGCCATTGGAAACTTATATAACAGCCTTGAGTTACTTATTTTACAAGGATTCAACATCAAACAAGAAGAATTAATTGGTTAGAAATTAATTCTTATTTTACAAGGCATCAAGCTTTCGTTCAGCAAGGATTCTTCAACAATTATTTCTCTTAGGTATTTTTCACTATCATTTGTGGCAAATGGTGAAAAATAATCGTATACTATTGTTTTATTTATTTTTATTATTTTAAACCTTATTTTAATTAGTTTAGGCTTTATTTATATTAAGTGCATGTTTGACCTATTAGTTTTAGAATTTATATATAAATATTCTTGTGTAAGGATTTTTATGCAGTTGATGAAGTTGATGAATTTTTATCTAAGGTTGCTGTATATTGTATGCCTTTTTCTCTTATATGGTTGAGTAATTCTCATACTAAGTTCTTGATTCAACTTGCAAATTCTTCAAATGATTGATCAACTTCATTGTGATTTTTACTTCTCGCTCGCGTCTCGTTATAAGTGTAGGGTGGAGGTAATTAATTGCTTATAACTTTGATTCTTAAAGGCAAGGTTCTTGTTAAGTCAAGTTGCAAACTTTTCTTCAAACCTCAAATTAGCAATCTAAAAGACAATTCCACATCAAAACATTAACCAGTTGTGTTAATTAGCCTAACAGAGCTTTCAAATAATTAGTCAAGAGGGTAGTCAACTTAGGTTCAGAAGTGTGTCAATCTTTTTGAACACCTGTCTTGTAAAATTTTCAACCATCCACAAGCTGGTTAACAAGCCTAATTGTTGAAGCTAATATGACCCCAATTAAAGTCATCATTCAACTAGCCAACCCTTAGTTCTTGCATACTCCTATTGCAAAATATGCAAGAATGTCGTGTATTAACTCCTTAGGTAACACAACAAACAACCAGCAGCAAGAGATCCTCGAGGGAGGGCAAAAAAGCCAGCAGATTTAAATGGCATGCATAGAATTTAAAACTAAAAGTGTTAAAAAAGGTTAACCTGTCTGCATTGAAGGAAGAAGAACGCTTCAGACTAGGATGTCCATCTCCTTCCTTGAGCATTTTTGTCTCTATCAAGCTCCTACTGAAATACTCCTTTTCTTCCGAGCTGAGGCCCATCATCCTCGGATTCTCTGACAAGCAATCAAGCTTTCCTAACATCATAGAAGTAGAGAACAATGGAGAAGGAAGTTTTGAATGAGAAAACCTCGGCCTGTAGGTTGGAACTAGTCCAAAACTGTGATCTTTCACTGAAATTGACCCACGGGATATCAATTGCATTAACATATTAGTGGCCTTGAGCCTTGCGTTGTTTGGCATTCGAATATCTTCCTCTTCAAGGATTCTAAAACTGTTGATTTTATTAACATCAGCTCTAATAAGAGACTCCAAAGTTTCAGTCTTCCCGCCCGATGATGATGCACTAGAGGAAGATGGGGGAGGGGAAACTGAATTCTCACATATCTCAGAATTTTCTTTCACGTGTGGAAGTCGATTTTGATCATTCTCATTGCTTTCCTGTTCCAGAGAACCATCATCAGTCGAAACACCCCTTGAGCAAGTTTCTCAGGATTTAGGTCTGCTTACATTTTCCTCAGTCTGTGTTGAAGCATTCGCGAATCCATCACTCTTGTAAACCTTGTATTCTGTCAAGCTAAGAGAGCCATTCCATGAAGAATTCTTTCCAACTGTAGACTCTGGAGACACGCCAGAGGAGCCAGGACGTTGCTGGGGAGGGGATACTTCATCCTCCTGAGAATGCTTTGTTTCCTTTCCATTCAAACTTGCAGACGATGAGGAATCATCTTGACTTCTAGAAGATGCGGGTTCTGGCAATAGTTTCAGATTTTGCATTTTTATGGTTCCAGCAGGAGCGAAGCGATCTGTGGAGATTAACTCAAGCTCTCAGCCCTTTAACATATCCTTCATGTTATAAAAACAACAACTAACCCATCACTTAAATTGATTTAAATAACCCACCTGGATTAGATTCTTCAAAGAGTTGAGAACCTTTGAGAACATATTCACTTCCATGAGCAGGAAGAATTAAATCATCCTCACAAAGGTCATGCCATACAAATCCATTCTTATAGCTTCTACAATCAACAACAGAAACAAAAATGAACAAACAAATAAGCACAAGGAAATGTAAGGTAAACCCAGCTATAAACTAACCATAACGCTTATCCTACTAAATTTAGAGAACGGAAAAAACTAAAAGCAACCCACAATTTTTTTCAACAAAAGAAATTAAAGATTTCAATTCTTTCATGATTTTCAAATCAAACAGTCCATAATACAAAAAACAGAAGAAAGACAGTAACTTTGACCTTTTAGAAGACCAAGAATACAAAGAAGTCATCCCTCTGCCTCTCAATACATTAAGCCTCTCAATTACATCTGCAACATCACATCACCTTACATTCAATCTCAAAATCAAAAACAAAAACAAAAACAAAACAAACCCAGTTCCAAAAACTCACTAAAAATACCTCTAAGGTAGAGACCATCACGTGAAGCAAGAGGGACTTCAATGAAATGAGGGTGCTCAAGCTGATGATTTCTACAGAGATAATAAACAACAGGGACTTTACGATTCTGTTGTTGATACTTTGGTGACCTCTCTGTCCACACTTTTGCTCTCTCTGGACTTACTTGCCTGTTGTACTTCTTCATTATCATCGTCTCCATTATCACATCAAAACCCTAAACGAAAATTCTGAAACTTGGCAATCCTGAGAGTGTCTGGGAGCAGTCAAAGAGATACAAAATCTTTATGGTGTTAAGCGGTGATGGTGACTCTATAAAGAGAAACTACAGGGAAGGAAATGTCGTTTTAGCTTCTTATTTTCTGCGCGTTCTTTTTTTTGGCTGATTCGATAGAGGCCGAGAGAGAGAGAGAGAGATAGAGAGAGAGAGTGTGCGTGTGTGTGAGAGAGAGCTGGGAGCTAAGAACAAGACTGGGTTTTTTTTTTGTGGTTGCCTTTTTTATGCTTTACCCAGTCTGTCTTCTTGTTTTCTTTTACCCCCTCGTGGAAGCAAAATCAAATTTAAGAGGGGGAGGGGGGGTTAATTGTAACTTAGTCACTGTAATCTAATAAAAATAATTAAACAGTCCTCGTGATTTCATAAACTGTATATTTAACTCCTTTTTTTTAAACTTCTTTTTGTTTGGAGGTTAAATTACGAAATGACAATAAATATCTATACTCAAACTTGAATTAAAAATCCAAGTTTAACCCAAACCTGTTTGGGTATGGGTTTTTTATCCTCAACCCATAAATGCTATAATTTACAATAATTTAATATATAATCATTTTGCATGCTTATATTTTTTTTAAAAAAATTTAAATTATTTATATATTTTTAGTTACATAACGTAAAATAATATCTATAACAAACTTCAAACTTGACTTTTATTTTTTATTTTATCCAAACTCAATTTAATTTAAAATTTTCATATACATTTGAATTGGTTCAAGTTAATATTTATCGAGTTTAAATAAAATTATTATTTCTACTTATTTACTTATTTATATAGTTATGTATATCAATGATACTAAATCTTTCTCTAGATTTTAGAAGTTCATTCCTTACATTGGCCCGATGCATTCCAATTTTTTTAATAAATTCTTATATATGTTGGTATTAATGTTTGAATCTAAAATATCAATAAATGAAACAAAACTTTTTAACCGTTATTAAATCTATTTATAATTGATAATTTTTATTTGTTTCATGTTTTTTAATTAATTTTGATTATTTTAAAAAATAAAATAAAAAAGGAATTAATAGATAGGATGAAAAGATTAATGAGAAAATAAGGTATTTTTTTTACAAATTATTATTAAATAAAGTATGATTATCACCGGTCGAATGATAATTCCATATTTTTTAAGCAATGAAAAACGATATGGATTTTGCTCTATTTCAATCTTTAGTCATCCATTCATGTGACCAAAAAGAGAAGATCATTCTTTGGTGCACATGACCACTTGTGACACGTTATATCATCAAGTCATTCATTTTCAAATATCATCAACAAGAAAAGAAGGAAAAAAAAACAGTGGACATATAATTATATCTTCATCATTCATTTACCAAATATTTATAAACTAATTTATTAAAGATAGCCTTGATTAACCTAATCAAATGTTGCTTTGGTTGCATAGATTAACCTAATCAATCAAAACAATATCTATTTAACTTTCTAAACTTTTTAAATAAAATTTTAAGATGTCATCTATCACTTTTTATAATTTATGTCATTGTTTTTCAGTTCAATCATTCTTTTTTAAAAAATATAATTAAATATTAATCTAAGCTTAAAAAAGCTCAATTGTTAAAAAAAAAACAAAGATTTGATAATCAAATTAAAAAAATTAACTATTCCAAACCATAGTAATTTATGAAAAATAAACAATAAAAATCTTATAGCATTTTGGATCATAGTCAAACAAAAAACTATTAGGTTGACTCAAAAAACAAACTAAAATTAAAACTTATAGAAAAAAACCCAAAAAACATGATTTTTTTGGTTAAAAATGGGCCAAAATTTAGAACACTTAAGAATATAAAAAGCATGCCCAACAAGATGAATTAAGATTTAAACTAGATATTAACAAACCAAAGACATAGATATATTTGAAATCAATAACTGAACAATAATCAAGCATCAAACATCAATAATTATCAATAATTATAATTTAATCAAAATAGTTTTTTGTGCAAAAACAAAACCTAAGATTAAGCCTATTTTAATAGTTTTAGTTTCAAGGAAATATAGATTTTTTCCGAGCATGACCTTAAAAAAAAAATTGTTTGTTGTATACGACTCAATCTTTATAAAAAAAAAAATGCATTTTATTTATATAAAAAGAGAGAGAAATTTTTTTTTAACATTTTTTTAGAAAATTTTTGTTTTTTTATTTTCTTGAAAATTTAGAAAAAGTTTGTAAGATTCCTTAAGGATTTGACCAATGTTTCAATAATCCTAAAAAAATATTATCTTTAAAAATTAATGGCCAATATTCTGGTATAAATATTAGATTTACAAGTAAGCTAGTATTCAAATATCAGGAGTTGATTAGAAAATTCTCAGAATTATTTTGAATATTTACCAATTTTAATTAAGAGTATTCTTCACTACATTGATTCTTCCTAAAAGAATTTATTTGGATATATGAGCCCATAATAAATTCAAGATGCTAGATTTATGCATGAGTGTGAATATTTATTTTGAGTCATAGACAAATCACTGATCGAGAATCCATCAACACTTTTAAATCACATTCAAATCACATTCAAATCACATAACTTACCTTACTTCAGGTAAATTGCATTATGGGTGTTAATACCTTTCATAGCCACAACAAATTCTTTACCCTGAAATTTAAAATAAAATCAGTTCACCTAAGTCTTCTTAACTAAAGAATTAAATGATGATTTCTTAACCCTGATGTCCCGCCACGCTACGCCCTAGACGTGCAACAATCATCATAGAGTGCTTTAAGAATTTCAAATTTTTATGGAAAGGGAAGATCTTATTCATTAGTTTGTTGTGTATTGAAGGATTCTAAAATAAAAGAAATTATGAAGTTAATGATGATAAAAACTTTGATAGATTTCATTCAACAAAAATCAAATGGCGCCCTAAATTTGTTTGAATACACAAGCTACAAGCCGGAAATGTCAGAGTTGCAAACGAAGTATAATTATGACTACAACGAGGTGAGGTTGTCATGCTTTATTCAGAAATTATGATATTAAATATGAACAATCATTTGTTTTCCTTCTTTCTTATATTAACAAATTAACCCTATTTCGTGGATTGCATGTCATATGCTAAGCAATTATAAATCATGATTAATAGGAGGTATATCGGCTTGACATGTTTCAAAAATCCATATATAAACACTCTGGATTTTGCAGTTGAGTCTTGTTATATATAGCCATGGTTTTGTCAACATGCTCAAATAAAAGTGCCACTATAAAGCAGTTTGTCATTTTACTGTGTGGCATGGGCTTTGAAATTTCATTCTTAAATTATGGTCATATTAGTCCATGAGACATGGTTTCCATATGTGTCATGCATTAATGAAAAATCTTAAACTCTCAAGTGACAAAGAATGACAATTTAAACACTGAGGATCGACTTGAATTCTAAAAACTATGTGCACATACATACAAAGATCGTCCAGTTTTTTATTTTGTTATTAATGCCAAGATTAATGGAGTTAGTACATCATGTAAACAAGAACAAAAACCTAATGGCTAGCTCCAGGGGATTTTGTATTTGTGATAAATGTTGCTTATATCAGTATTGTCACTCCATGATTTTTCTTCCCAAGACATTTACAAGAAACTATTACAGTCTCTTAAGATAGGCTGCAATCAACCACTTTATGGAGATCAACCTGAACATTTCTTTATCATATTTGCATATAACGCTTACATCAATATCCTTTTGCTGTAGTATAACTGACTTTGAGCCTTGTACATTGCTTAAAGATATGGACAGGATGGATCAACACCTTTATAGAGAAATATAGGCAACCCTCTACGTCTGCACTCTTTTTTTTTTGTATCAAAGTTCATGGCTTTGTTTGGCTTAGCAATTATGATATCTCCACACTGACTTTTGCTCTTTTTTTTAGCAATCGGCTATGCTCTTAGCACGTAAATCATGAACTTTTTTAGATTGCTTAAACCCTCTAAATACATCTTTTTATGCAGTAATTCCTACCGAATGCTTATACAATAATTTTTTGGTGATTTACGCTCATTGACTACACAAACAAAACTTCATTTATGTGATGAGATTTGGCCCATGACAACCTACCTACCTAGTAAAATAACCTAATTTTTTTTCTAATATTTATCAAACATTATTACAAAACAATAAATCATAATAAAAATTAAATAAACGAATCATTCATGCAAACACGGGCCTCGACTGGTTTGAACATGAAATTCTCGCTACTTCAATCGAGGCTATCATTGTTGATGTGACAACTAAACCACATGGTATTAGTAATTATGAACACATTTTTTTTTATTTGACAGTTCAAAAAACTCTTCTATTACAATCTATGAGAAGCAGAGATGAATGTATGTTTAAAGAATAAGCACAACAAGGCATAAAAGGAGCAACTTGTAAATTATAATAAAGGTTGGTGCCATATAATTCTTGCTTGCTTGAGATCTCTTAATATATATAGCTAGAGGGACATCATGTTACTCTCATGCATCACAACATGCCATGACCACTTGTCCATGTTTTTAGCAAAATCAAATCTAAATCTTTTTTTTATTAACGTGGGTGTCTGGGTCAGCTTGCGGGCACCTCAACTAATCGTACGGGCCCTAAAATTAACAACTATGTAAGCTTCCAGTGACCATAATATTAGCAACCATAGAGTTTGAACTTGAGATTATAGAAAAAGCAAGCCCCTTAGTTCATGCTCTAATCATTGTACCACATACTAGGTGGTTAATCAAATATAAATCTTTTATTTCTTTATTTTTTTTCTTTTATTATAGGGAATCAAATCCAAATTAATATGGTTGATCATTGTTCTTTCTTTTATTATAGGGAATTAAATCCAAATTAATATGGTTGATCATTGTCACTGTCCTTTCTATGTTGGAAAATTGACAAGTATTAGCCAAAATCACCTTATTTCTAGCAACTAGCATCAATTAAGGAAGGACTAATCCCATATCAAGCTTTTTAAACCAAAACCAACCCTATAGGTGCCTTAGGACTAATGTGATGTGATAACACATTAACTTAAACCGTGGAGTGAAAGCCTCGGGACTAATGTGATGTTATAGCACATTAACTTTGATTGTAGAGTGAAAATAATCGATTAAAGAAAATAAA